TTATCGTGTTTTAATTGGGGTTTGTGGGTCAGTATCAACGTTTGGGGCAGAGTCCAGAATAAAATAAACATTCGGGTATAACATTTAGATTATCGTTGCTAAGGTGACTCCATTGCCGTAGCAGACAAACAAGCCATCACATCTGGCCATTTGCCATCCAGATTGCAAGTGAGGGTCACATTCATATTAATATCTCCGCTATCTGAGAACTTCTGTACTTGTGATAATGGGATTTTTACCGTCTCCGCATTACAGTGTCCGAACCATGACTGCAAGGACATTCTTAGCCTTTTAATATATTTTATGGATATGGAACTCAGTTTGTGACTGTTCGTAAAGAAATTCAGGTTGAGGGTTTCTGAGAAAAAGTTCTGATTATATCTGGACCCCAAGTGAGACGAAGTGACAGGGTAATTGAGATAATTACGTATGGAGGAGCTAAGTTTTTTTCTGTTCCTTCGACAAGTTACGAGTGTTCGAAATATTGTGTCTGTTATTGTAAATTTATTTTATTATTAACAGCAAATTGATTTAATCGTTGATTTATTGTTAAGAGGTGAGTTCTCTACAGTGTTTGGTTGCTTAGCCCATAACCTGTCCAATAATTTACGTTGTCGAGAACACCCTAGAGTGGCGACGTTAACATATGCTAATAACACGACGCGAACTGGTGTTACTATGGTCAGTTCTCCACTTGGACCGTGCCTCGTAGGGGCTTTGCTATTGGTTGATCCGTAGGTCACGTCTGAGGTCAGCTTAACCGAGACTCTGATCTGTGCGATTTGCCTTCGCTTAGAATAGACCGTCTGTGTTATTGAGTAATGAGCTCGGTTATCGGCGATTTCACATCTGCGTAGATTACACGGCATAGACTGTCGTGAATAATAAGTGACCTGCAAGAGCGATCGTGGCCTATTTTAACGTGTTAAAAAGTATTGACAGAAAAAGGGGAATACCTCTCTTTTTTATATTTATCGGCGTTGTCAGTAGCTCAAAATATATAGCGTGTAATGATATGATAATTAATTAAGAGTGAATTGGAAAAGATGTGGAAGGATCCGGTCGTGACATAATTTTAAGGTTATGTTTCCCGAAATCTGCCAGGAAGGACTAAGTAAAGTCAGAATTGCTGACTGATTTCCAAACCTCACTCGAGTAGACCGCTCTCAGGACCTGACTTAAGCCAGCAGTCGACATCGGAGTGGTCCGACCTCGATGGTAGCCGATGAATGTGCAGTATCCAACATCCTTCTAGCTCATTAGCGATGTGACCACCGTCCCCCCCATTCCCGCACAGGAATTCATTTCTTTTAAATTAATAAGCCCAGTAAATCGGTAAATAATCTGTAACTGTGTCCTGATATAAAAAACAGTGGCCTTCCTTGTTAAATGACGTATTAAATTCACTTTGGTCTAATCCGTACATGAGGTGCCAGGCGACACTAATTATATCGCTGATTTGAAACATTTAAAATATAAAAGTGACCAAGTGGATGGTCTGTGGCCTGCCTGGAGTAGTGGGCCAGTTGCTAAGTACAAAATCGGCGGGAGCTTGAATTAATTTTGTGCCAGGATATAGATACGTCGAGCTTTACCTCCATGCCCACAATACACCTATATTATCCTGTACATAGGCACTGTTTACTTATTTATTTTATGCAGGATTTTATTATTTTGACGAATTTATCTGCTCGTCGGTGGTTGCTTTAAATATGACATGTGATGAGTTTTTCCACGGTCTATCTCGATACCAAATTTCACCCGATTTCTTTCAATGATCTATTAGTTATCATCATGGAACTGGAAGTATTAATTAGCGCTATTGTCACATCCACCTCAGAGATTCGCACTCAATCGTAGTGCGTTAGCGAAGTGAAGGGTGTTGGTATGAAGTCCATAACAGACTTGTCGAAAATGCGTCACTTTAATTCAAAATTTATTAGGCGTTAAAAACTGAGAGACACACGCGAGCGCACGGACATGATGACGTCATAAACATATATGTCCTTACAAATAAAATGTGCATGAACAGAAGTGACACGCGTGGATGTACGCCACTTTTGCAGTTTACGTGACAGTAATTAATTGTGTTCATAGAATTTCAGACGCGGGTATATAATTAAAATGTATTTGAGTTACCTGTGGATCATGTATTCAATTACGAAATTTGTATTTATAATTAATTAACGATAATTATCGTTCTCTTGGATTGTTTAATGTACAGCTACATTTTGCAGAATTAAACCGAAAGCTTACATTAGTTGTCTTAGGTCTCGATTTTTCTGTTCGAGGGTGCAGTAAGGATTGTGGTTGTTTGTCGAAGAACGAAATTCTCGTTCAACAGAACGCGTTGCCATGGAACAGAGATTACAGCGGTCTTACTAGCTCGATAATCATCGACCTTTGTCGGGATATAATTCCACCATTAATCTTCTTGTTTATGAAGATGCATTAATTACATAGAACATAAATTATATTAGAATCTGGTGAAAAGTTATTAAGGGTGGGGGGAGGCCTTATATTTCACATCCTGTACCCTGGACACCTACCGGCGATGATGATGACTACCCTTCTCTGACACTGCAATAAGCAGGTTGCGTTTTGTTTCAAGAACTGGACACGAATGTCGGATGATATTTTTTGACATTTCAGATTCTCACGGCGAAGAGAGAGAGAGGGAGAGAGAGGCTGGCTGGGATCTTGCGCCGTGTAGTCTCTTACAGATTGACCGACGTTTCAGAGGTTCGTACTGCCTCCATCGTCAGGATACACGGCGCAACAAACCAGAATATGTCCATCTTCATATTCGCCTCCGCGATAAACCAAAATCTCTCGCTCTCTGCCAGCTCAGTCTAGTTTGTATCTTCGCACCATATCTAAGACCATTTTTAATAATATCCTTCCGTTTGTGCCTAGATCTTTTTAGTCGTACTTACCGCTGAGGGATTTTAAAAAAACAGTTTTATTTGATTTATCTGATCAAAACGATATTGTTCTCATAACCTTTATTGCTTAAGTCAAATACTAGATACATTAATATATTTCGGTTAGTTCTGGGATGAAAACGTAATATACAGACGGATGGATGTTTCGTCATATTTCATGCACTCACGTTAAAGAGTCTGACAGCCACGTCTTATGCTTCTAGTGAATGGTATATCTTTATTATTGCTTATGGATTCACAAATGATACATGTTTTAGACAAAATATGGCCATCATCTGTGTCAGATGACTACATTCAAATCCATCTACAATTAATGCGTTTAAAATACATGTTTCCTTAATCACGTGGTTCGTCTCTGATTCGTTACACACTGAGTGTTGAACAAGTTTCTGCCGCATTTGTGTCAGTCAGCTGTTATTACACGTTGCTATGACACGTGTTCTGGTAGTTTACTTTCATGTCGCTAAGTTAATACTTGACATTTTTCTCCAGTATACGGCGCAAGGAACACACTGTAGAAATTGACAAACGGAAGGAATTTCATTGTGGGAAATTTAGCGGACAGAAGTTCGTGTGAAATAAAGTCACAGAAATGTGTTCCTTATTGCCGAAAAAATATTGCATAGAACACTTGGCTCTTGAATTACATCTGATAGTAATTTTATAGCAAGAATTGTTCAACTAATTACATAAATTACGTAACAGCATAAACACAACTTAGGGGTCATAACTTTCTGGGTACTGACAGACTGGATGTCAGTATGAATATAAATTAATCCAAAGTGTATCAGTGGGTGTCCTTATTACGTAGATATGTTACAATGTGAACACTTTACAGCCGGAGTCCACCGTTACTAATTACAAAACTGGTTGAATACATGATATAAACTTTCGTGTGGCAAGTGTGCGCGCGCAGATGTGAACCGGTAGCTTCGCCACACCTATTCGTCGCCCTTGAAGGTGATGGTAACTTCCTTCTGGTACATGTTGGAGGTGATGAAATGATCAGCGTCTATCTGACGGTCGAAGGGGAATCCCATGGGTTTGCTATCCGGGTACTTGTATCCCGACAGGGCACCACAGTAACTGATGGATCCCCCGTAGTCGTAGTCCGAGGGTACGTCGTTCACCTGAAACACAGCAAGTGTTACGTCATCTCTCTGAGAAGTTACGGTCCAGTGGTGATCGCTTCTGCTTCGTATTCCGAAGAGTTAGGTTTTAATGTCGTCCAGGAAACAGGTTGTCCTGATGTAAGACTTGAGGTTCTCACAGCGGTGAGTATGAAGATTTCTGTCCTCTGGGTTGTTGCGCTGTGTAGTCTGGTCGATGTTAACCAACGTTTCGGAGGTCATACTGCCTCCGTCATCAGGGCGATGAGTTTGAAGATTTCTGTCTTCGGGCGATCGCCCTGATGACGGAGGCAGTAGGACCTCTGAAACGTTGGTAAACATCGACCAGACTACACAGCGCAACAACCCAGAAGAAGGAAATCTTCAGGTTGTCCTGACTTGGTTTGCTCGTTGTTTTCCCCAGTCCTTCTGCAAGTGCCGGGGTAGTGATTTAAATAGGCCACGACCGATTCCTTCCACATCGTTACCAATTCATTATTAATAATAATTATCACATTCTCATTCGATACTGATATGAACTATTGAAAGCATCGGCTAATTAACTGAGAGTGAACATTTAGAACGATATAACTCGTTGGTAGCATGCGGAGTGTTACTCACCTTCTCTTTATCGAAGTCGGTCACGACGACGAAGAGGCTGAAGGGCATCCCGTCCCGTTTGCCCTTGGGGAGCAGCAGCCGGTCGGGGTAGCCGCAGTGTCGGACGTCCTGCAAAAGGTCAATGCGCCCCAGTAACAGTTTGAACGAGATAAGATGTCGTGACCTTGCGTCTGTTTATGTCTACAAGATGAGAATGTTTTTATTTTAAAACTGATGACGTGGTTAATGTTCACGATGGAAAACTTTCGTGATCTGTAGCCTGCGTCTGTGGCATTAGAAATGATTTTATCTTCCTGCGTCCCGTCTGAAAATATCATTTTTTAACTGCGTGTCTTCGATTATGGTTGGTGTGAAATTTGGTCTCTTTAACTGCAGGAAAGAACGTGCCCGTGAATTTCAGGTGTCTTGGGAAAATATTTGGACCCAAATACTGTGAAATAACAGGAAGATTGAAATCAAAACTGAACGGTAAGAACTTAGTAAATGATTCAATTGAATAAAATTTTTTTTGATATTATCCATCGTCTAGTAAATATAAAACGTAAAAACGACGTTTCGGAGATGGGACTCTATCTCCGTCTTCAGGTTCCTACACAGTTGGGCCCACTAGATAGAGCTAATCCCTATCTCCGGACCTCTTGGATATTATCCATCGTCTAGTAAATATAAAACGTAAAAACGACGTTTCGGAGATGGGACTAATCCCTATCTCCGGAGATAGGGATTAGCTCTATCTAGTGGGCC